CACCTGTTAGGTCGGACAGGGTTCCGTAGGTTTTCTTCAGTGAAAGAAAGATTAACAGTATATATATATATTATATAGGTATATATAGTATATATATATATATGCACTTTGCTCCAGGGCAACATTGCTACATAGCTGACACATGTCAAGCCAACTCCATCCCTTGCTGCTTGCTCTTGTCTTCACCACATCCCTTGCTGCTTGCTCTTGTCTTCACCATCGCGTCGGCTCACGTGCCAAGCTTCATGAGGTTCTGCTTGTGCCTGGCGTTCATGTTAAAGTCCCCACACCGACAAGTCTATATAAAACCAACCCACAAATGCCACCAGGTGGTTTGACATATTCTATTTTGATGGTGGCACTGTTGCTACTCACCCGAGGCGGCAAAAAATATGGCTGCCGAGTTCAGCAAATTATATAGGCCAAATTCAACCAGGATGCGTAGGCAGAAATGACTGAACAAAGTCTGGGCGATGACTTTGGAAATGTTTGGTCAACGACCGTACAATGCTGATATTCCGGGTTGAACGCCATCGGTCTGCCCAGCGCCTCCCACTCTCCTTCATTGAAAGCGAAGCCAAAATACCAAAGAAGTTTCTGATTAAAGGGGACTAGTCAGTCTACCTGAATGATCGAATGATGCAGTTGAAGAATGCCACTCACTCAGCTTGATACAAGTTCCATTCTCGCTGCATTCGGTAAGAACTCTGCCAGGCGCGCAGTTCGGACAGCTGCTCGTGCTTGCCTTGAGAGCGGATACAATAAACTGTTTCTGGAGAGGTCTTGCAGTTTAAGCTTTTAAATCAAGTTTAAAAGCCTGTCCTCATATGGTGCCTTCGACAAAGAAACACCAATGCTCTCTGAGGTGCGCAAAGCTTCTTCCGAAGAGAACTTTCTCATGCAAACCTGCAGCTCAAAGCATCGAAAACCTGCAAACACCTTTGTGAATCGTTCAAACCTTTGTGAATCGGCCTCACAAATCCAATCCAATCCCTCTGGCATCACTGCCGGCATTGGAGCGGTTGAAAGAGGCACGGAAGCAGATACCTGGTCCCAGTTCAGGAACGCATTTGGTCTTGGTTTCTATATGTTTCGCATTTAGCAAGTGAATGATGGTGAATAGCTCCAAGATCCCCTGCGGGTGCATTGGGCTGAGGTGACGAAGGACTGGCAGAAGGGTGATACTTGCTCTACTCCATCTTGACATTGGCAATACACTTTAAGCATCTTTAAGCAAACTGCATCAATCCTTCAACTAACCCAAACATAAATTTGAAACTGGCTTCTGAAACAAATGCCAGTCACCTGGGCTGAAGAAGGGTTACCGGCCCGGGCTGCGCGGCAAAGACCTGGTGCACGTTGTGATTCACAAGAAGGGTCGGTCTTAAACAAACGGCTTCACCAAATCTGCATGTCTGTTTTCAGAACAAGCTGGGTATTGTGAGTTGTCAAGACATTGCTGGGCTTGGGACAGTGACTGGTCCTGGCCTCTGAAGTGGTTCTGCAGACGCCTGGCAGGCATGAGAGGCCCCAACTTTGTCTCGCATGATACACTATCAAAATCATGCAATGCTGTCCTACTAATTGGACATCGCCATAACCCGTTTGAGCCCAATAACCAGCCAGCTCCACTGCCAAGCCAAGAACGCCTTCTGGTGCCTTCCTTCAACTTTGTAGTATGTGTCCCATCAACACGCAGCACAGGCAAAATAGGATCATGCTTGGCTGAGCTAATGAATCTATATTCTATGGGTAAAGAGTTTTGAATCTCAACTGCACATTGAACGGTAGTGGCCTACTTGGGGACTAAGCTGCTAAGTTCTCAACTTCTTCTTCTTTGGCTGGCTCGGTCGTGCTGTTTCTGCAAGAGAATCTAATCTGTCAACCGTCAACCCCTAACTTTGCGACTTGCAACTTTCGGTGAAAGTCAGAATCTGTCACCAAATCCTCAGATCGCTTTGGACCATCAAAGCTCACCTGGAGGAGGCACTGCAAGTTTGGCCAGTGGGTCTCCACCTTAGCTCAATCAGGTCTGCACTGGTTAATGTATGTGTGGAGCTTTTGGGAACCAGGCCAGGAAAATGGATTGGCTTGTGTTGAACTTGTTGAACCTCCTGAATCTACAGGTTTGGAGCCTGCGGCTAAAGTAAGCATTTCGTCACACCAAATGGGGATGTCGGTCCTCACGCACATCGGTGAGCGAATCGGATCTGTGAGGCCTGAGACTTGCGTGAGCGCCACTTGCGCGTGTTGTATCAAAACGTCACATGCATGTCTGCGCGACAAGTGCGTCACAAACACATGCTTGTTCTGGTGCAAAAATTGTGTCTGGATCTCATTTGTCCATTTCTAAAAGTAATCTGAGGCGATCGACTGTCGCGACTCACGACCTTCGCGGTCTTCAGGTCGTGTTCTGGACTCTTTGGCCTTCTGAAGTGGTCCACTTGGTAAAAACTCCAAAAAGGAACGTTCTCAGTTGCATTGTGTGACCTTATCTGTGTTTGGTTTCTAGCTGTTGGACTGTTGAACGCTGTCTCTCTCACTGCTTTCTTTGCATCCTTGCTTGCTGTGCCGCAAAAACAACATATTTTGCCTCACGTCTTCTCCCCCCCCAAAAGATTCAACAAACAAACAAACGTGACAGGACTTTGCCTCACCCCCTCTTCCCCCGAAGGGAATTTCAATAAAACACAATTGTGACAAGACTTTGTTTGCCTGACCCCCTCTTCCTCCCATGGCCTGCGCAACATTTTTTTTGGTCCCAAAATAACTAAAATAACTGCAGGCTATAAAGGTTTTTACTTCTCAATGGTGTGGCCGCGGATCGGCGTTTTGGTTTTGCTGGTGCTGCTGCCATGCTGGTGCTGGTGCAGGTGCAAGTGCTGGCTCTGGGTCGGCGTTTTGGCTGCTGCTGCCGTGCTTCTGCTGGCGCTGGATGTTGGTAGTGGTGCCTGTGACACATTGATCGTTTCCTGTATAGTGCCAGGGGCGACATCGTGTCGGGACGACATCATGTCATGCCAGGGGATGACATCATGTCGTGCCAGGGGTGTCATCATGTCATGCCAGGGATGACATCATGTCACGCAAGGGATGACATCATGTCGTGCTCAGAATGACATTATGTCATGCCATGCGTGACATCGTGGCATGCGGGGTGACATCATGTCATGCCAGGGATGACATCATGTCTTGCCAGGGACGACATCACTATGATTCATTATGGCATAGATGACATCATGTCAAGCCAGGGATGACATCACGGCAAGGATGACGTCATGTCATGCCAGGGATGACATCATGTCATGCCAGGGATGGCGTGATGTGCCAGGGATGACATGCTGTCATATTGCGCGTGACAACGTGTTGTGCAGCAATGACCTCAATGTCGCTTGGGCAGCTTTTGCTGGCCCTTGCCGATCTTTCAGTTTTACGTCTGTGTTGGGCAAAGCGGGGGTGCGTTCTGGACTGGTCTGATGTTGCGCGCTGCGGTGACAGCCGTGCGTCACGTGTCCTTCAAACCTATGCGCCCGCTATCTGGAGTCCATGCAGGTGTAATTTTGTTTTTTTTGGAAACTCAAAGTTCGCAAGGTTTGCAGACTAAACGCTCTCTTGGGCCCTTAGAATCCTTGAAGTAGTTCGATCAGAATCTTGCAATGACACAAGCAATGTGCGAATAACCAAGCCTCGCTCTCCCGTCCTCGGTCACGCCTCAGCTCGATGATTGGAGGAGCAAAGAGCACAGCGTAGCCAAACAGCCTAACAAATACTGATGGGGTGTGTATACAGTATGAACGGAGAATTTAGGCTCTTAAACTCTGTGACCCCAAGTCACTGTCCCAAAGGTTGGAGTAGAAGCTTAGGCCCACTTTTAGCTCACGTTTGACTGAGCTCTGGTATCGAAATGAACACAAAAGTAAACCACAGACTTGAACAAACGGCTGCAGTGAAACATACATCTATACAAGCTATGTCATGTACATGTAACTGGTGCTACATCTGATCACGCCTCCCGAGTTTAACTTCTGGGAGATGTTAACCGAGTCAGGATTAGCACTTTTAGTGAATTAGCCCATAGCCCTTCAGTACATCTTGGTCTTGTAGAAGTACCTACTTTAGCTCAAGCCGTTCACGCTTTCAGAGTCAGTTCATGCTCACCTTCCAGGTAGTGGAAGTTCATGCCTTTCATAGCTGTAGTCATTTTCTCTTCGGTGACAGCTTTCGTTAGCACGTCGGCCAACATTCGGTCGGTGCCTTCTTTCTTGAGACGAAACTCTTTCTTTGCTGTACGCTCTTGTACCCAGTGGTACTGAGTGTCAACATGTTTAGCTCGTCCCAAGCCTCGACGGTTTCCCATGGCGATGCCAGCGGAAGCGTCCATTGTCACCTCTTTGCTGGGAAACAATCCCCAGTCTCTTGCTGTTGATGCGATTCCAAGCATTTGACATGCTCCGGAAACAAGTCCGTAGTACTCGGATTCGCCACTGCTCAGGGAGACAACTCCTTGGCCTTTGCTGTATGTTGTGAGACAGCATTTGTTGGCCATGAGCACGCCTCCTGACACACTCTTTCGTGTCCTTATGCAACCTGCATGGTCGGCGTCTGACCACATGTTGAAGGGGTTGCAGGTGCTTTGGTTTGGAAACAACTGTGCAACTCTTGG